ACCAGTGATACACATGACAATGCTCAATAAAAAAAATCAATGGCTGGACAAGAACTAGTATTAAATTTTATTCTTCTTTACTTTGTTGCTGTTCATATAACCTAATATTTGAGTTTGATGTGCCTGTTTAATCCACTGGTGAACTGTTTGTGATTTTTTTTCATTGTTTACTTTTCAACTGAAGTGGGGTAGCAGTAGGAGCTGGCAGAGAGTGAAGAACAGAGCAATTAGTGTGGGAAATGTTACCCCTTGCTGTCTCATATGTCTACATCCCTAAATATGTCAATGTTTTAAAATTATACAATAAAGTTAAATCTCTCATATAATAAGACAATCTCAACTATAACCTTATGAAGAATTTGAAACTAAATCATTATTATTGGAAATATATCAAAAAATTATTTTAAAAATATTTTATATGAGCAAATCAAAACTAATTGAACTGATTTTAACCAGATCAAGATTAAATATTGGGTCATAAAACTGTTCAGTTTCTATTTCAAATCATTTTCTAGGAAATAATTTCAATATTTATGATATTTCTTCATAACAGTGCCATGTTATAAAATATTTTTTTACGTTTTTTTTTTTAATTTTAAATAATTTGTGAATTATTCTCTATCTAGATTGATGCTAACATATATTCAAAAATAGTTATTAAATTAAAATTTTATAATCTGAAAACAAACATTTGAATTCATGCCAATATTTTAAAAAATATTTTCAACCTTCCTTGATTATTTCACACTTTTAATTAAGTGATAATAAACCAATCCAAAATGTAACAAAATTCTTTTAAATCAATTTTTATTATGACAATAATTTTAACCTCAATATTCTATATTATTCAGAAACGTTTTAATGGATAATATTTTATAATTGTTTATTTTTTGAATAATAAACTATGACTAAAGATTTCCTTCATTTTTGAAATATACATTGTAATCAGATGCATCTTTCAAAGTATTTTAATATTTTTTTTACTTTATTTTATATTTTAATTTTAATTTACTTTGCAAGATTAAATATTTTTTACAAAATTGGTGTTTGATTGAAACAGAGTGACTAGAACATACACTGTATGCCTACAATTCCACTATGAATCTATAATTTTCTATAATCACGTTATTAATCGAAATATTCACGAGATAAAGCAAATTCAGCAATATTAAAAAATTAAGCCCAATCTAACAAACCAAATTTAAAATATCCTATGTAATTAGAAATGTAATAAATTATTATTTCATCAGTAAGTAATATCATCTTGAAACAAAATTGTAAATGATAGAAAGAGGGCTATAAAAAGCCAAAATGCATTCCAGGATATTAAGCATTAATTAAAGAAATTGAAAAGGTGTGTGATAAGTCTGATAATTATAACAATTAGGCCAGCTGGATCATATGGTTATTTACTACTAAGGTATTTATGTAAATGACGCTTTCAAACATTTTATAATTATAAGACATAAATTAAGTGAAAATTTTTGCTAATAATTATTAAACATTAAAAATTGGAAATTTTATAGTTCTACTCTTTATTGTGACAATGTAGTTTAAGGAAACTTTTAATTTTACCATACAATGTGCTGAATAAAAAAAAAATCTTTTTAGAAAATAAGAGCTGAGCTAAAGTTTTCTGAATCTGACTAATATTTTTCTAAACTAATTAGTCAAAGTGATAAAGAATTTTTCCAGATAGTGCATACCTGTAGAAAAATGATCACTTTTCATGGCTTGTTGAATAGTCTCATCACATTTTCACACAAAATCAACTTTTCGGATAACCGATTATGTACGAAAAAATACATATTAATATAGTATATTAGTATATCCCAATAATAGTATATTAATATGTCCCACGTTTAAATCTTTCTCTGTTGCGTGTCGCTTCGCGTTGAATTTTCATCAATGTTAAGTCTAACGAAAATTTTTATAACAATAATCGTGGCTATTGTATTGTTAAAAATTATTTCTTTATTTTGTACAAGTAAAATAAATATACTGAAAAACAACAACAATATATATATATATATATATATGAATAGTCTCATCACATTTAAAGTATACTACTAAAGTACTACACACACTTCTAAAGTATAATTTATATATATATATATTTAAAAAAAAATTATACATTAGAAGTTAATCTAGTATCAAAAACATTTGATTCAGCATGACACTGTACAACTGGAACACTTTCAGTTGATTGATGCTCTACTGTATCTCCAAAATAGAGAATATTTTCTTCAAAAATATACCTTTTTCTCACTTTAAAAAGGTATAAACAGAGATTATGTAAAACAACATGATTTGAAGATTAACAACATTAGGGAAAAATATGAGAGTATGACTAATAATAGATTTCAAAATTTAAATTTGGAAGGAAATGTGGAAGAACTTTGGGAGAATATGAAAGGGGAAATTAAAGAAAGTGCTTACCAGTTTTTGGGAGAGGAGAGAAGAAAAGCAAGAAGAAGACCTTGGATTACTAAAGAGGTGTTGGAGAAAATGGATGAAAGGAGAAGATGGAGAAGCATAAATACATTAGATGCTAAAGAAAAATATAGAACAATTGATAAACAAGTGAAAAGTATGGCAAGAAAAGCTAAGGAAGATTGGCTAGACAGAATCTGTCATGAATTAGAAGAACATGAATCATCTCAAGATCTGAGAAAGGTCTATCAAAACATTAATTTAATCTCAGGAAAGAAAAGAAGAGTGAAAATTGGGGCAATAAAGGATGAGAATGGAGAAATTTTAATGCAGAAGGAAAGGTAATTAGTAAGATGGAATGAATATTTGACAAAACTTTATAAAACAGAGGATAACATGGAATGTAAACTGGAAGAGGAATATGACGATGATGAAACCCCTAAATTTCTGGAGGATGAAGTTGAGGCAGCCTTGAAAAAATTGAAGAATAAGAAGGCACCTGGAATTGATGGCTTGCATGGAGAATTGCTTAAGTCAATGGGTTTTGAGGGAAGAAGGATTATAAGTCATGTTCTTAATAAAATTCTTGCAGAACAACAACTACCCACAGACTTTACTAATTTAATATTTATACCTATACCCAAGATAGCAGGAACACTGGAATGCGACAAACATAGAATAATAAGTTTAATAAGCCATATGTCAAAAGTTTTAACTAATACTATCTATAGAAGAATAGAACCGAAAATTGAAGCAGAACTAAATGATACACAATTTGGTTTTAGAAAGAACAAAGGAACTAGAGAGGCCATTACATTAATTAGGCTTATTGGAGAAAAAATGATTGAAAAAAACAGAGATCTTTATCTGTGCTTTGTGGACTATGAAAAGGCGTTTGACAATGTTAACCACACAATTTTATTTGAAATACTTCAAAAAATTGGAATAGATAAAGGGATAATTAAAATTATTCTCTTTTTATACAAAAATCAGAAAGCAATAATAAAAATTGATGAGAAAGAATCCAACTGGATAAGGGTGGAAAAAGGAGTGAGACAGGGATGCGGACTTTCACCACTGTTATTTAATATTTACAGTGAGTGGATGATGCGAGAAGCACTTGAGGATTTTAACGAAGGAGTGAAAATCAATGGATGCTTAATAAACAACATAAGATACGCTGACGACATAGTCCTGCTGAGTGAAAGTAAAGAGGGATTACAGAAAATTCTGAATCGACTGTTCAAAACTGGATTGGAGAAATTCCATATGAAAATAAATGAAAAGAAGACAAAAGTAATGAAGGTTTCAAAGAAGGAAGATATGGAGGAATTCCAGATCATTCTGGGAAATAAGGAACTTGAAAGGGTTAAAAAGTTTGAATACCTGGGAAGCTGGATAACAAGTGATAATAGATGTAAAATGGAAATTAAAAGCAGAATTAATAAAGCAAAAGCTGCCTTTTATCAGATCTATCATATATTAACAAACAGAGGCCTTAACATAAAACTGAAAATAAAAATCCTAAGGACAATGATCTGGAGTGTACTAACATACGGATGTGAGGCATGGACTCTTACGCATGAAATGATGGAAAGAATTAACTCATTTGAAATGTGGTGCTTGAGAAAGATGCAAAGAATAAGTTGGACGGAGAAAATAACAAATGAGGAAGTTTTGGACAGGCTGGGCTTGAGGAGAAGGTTGCTTATAAATATCCAACAAAGAAAGGTACGATATGCTGGACATTTGGCTAGAGGATCAGGAGGACAACTACTAAAGACGGTGATTGAGAGACTGGTGGAGGGGACAAGACCTAGAGAAAAGACCACGAAAGACTTGGAGAGATAACATCAAAGACTGGACTGGAAAGGATTTAAGAGAAGCCTGGAATAGAGAAACATGGAGAGGAATAGTTCATCAAATGCAACCCTCTGTAGAGAGGATGCCACTGAATAGATAGATAGATAGATGTAAAACAAGGAAAAAAAAATGTATATTGCTAAAACAATGTTTTACAGTTATATTGTTTAGATTGTAAATATATTAAAACTTACATTATCTACTAATTTAAGTATATGAATTATTCATTATTTATACTTTATACACTATAATATAAAAGCTGAATAGTTTATTCACAACTGACTACTTAATAATAGTTTGTAGACTATGGTCATCGGGCACTATAGTCTGTCTGGTCGAAGCAGTTGGATCTTGATCGATCTATGTCTGACCTCTTGAGTCGCCAGAGGAAAAAGTGAATTTTCTTCTGTGTCGCTGACGTCACTTCTATGCGAGACCCTCTGGTGGTGTCCATTGGTGTTCATGTCCTCAAGTTATAAACTATTAATAACTAATTCTAAATTCAAAGAATCATTTATTGTTCTTTGGTAGTTAGATCCCTAAGCAGCTCTATATCTACTTATACTGTATGTAAATCCATCACTGAATATAATTATAAATAATTCATAAAATTTAAGAATAAACTCAGATCATCAATTCCAGTATTAGGAAGCAGCATTATAAATGGAAAATCTTCAACATTTACAATAATAATTTGAATAAATAGTATGGCAGTTTAATTTTTTCAATAAAGTTAGAATCTTACAAAGAATTAAAGTATACTCCACTAAAAGTAAAATTAATTATATATCAACTTTAAAAATATATATATACATTCAAAATAAATACAAATTAATAAATTATAACAGATCAGATCAGAGAAACTGTCAGAGATGAGATTTATTACATCTGAAATGTGAATCACAAAAAACAATGAGAAAGAGAATTTAACACTAACTAGTAAAATAGAGAACATGTCCAATCATCATTATTATTAAAACAATAGAATAATTACAATTAATTTAATATTGAATACAGAGGAAAAGGCAATAAAATGAGATAATTTTAAAAAAAAATTTTAGAAATATATCTAATAAGGAAAGAAAAGCTTTTTTTATTAATAATTCTGATGATAAAAATACAAATCTTTAGAATCATTTAATCAAAAGAAAGAGATTGAATCTTTAAAGAATTTCATAAATAACTTTTTTTTTTTTTTTGAGTAATCAACAGAATCATTATAATATGTATTAAAATTGTTTTCTTAGGTAAAATAAATAAGTATCATTATATTTGCTACTTACTTCACAACCAGCTTTTAAAAAATCTGCAATTTTTGACATGGGAACAAAATAGGCAACATGTGGTTTTCCAGTTGTAGCAGTACCCCAATATAATTTTAAATCTCGTTCTTTAAGAATTTCAATTAAACGATCTTCTCCTATAATTTCCTGATTAAAAAATTGTGTATTTAATTTCTATTATTATTATTATTAAATGTAATATATTTATTATTTTCTCATTTTCACTTATTCTATTTTCTAAACAATTTAAGTTTTACAGAAACCCTTGAATTTCAATATTGACTAAATTTTAGATTATTATAATGTTAAATATTATTACTTAGAAATATTTTAAAATACAATTTTGCAAACTTTTACAATAAAACAATTAGTTTCAGTTAAAAACAAATACTTCCCCAATTTTAAAAATATTTAATTTATGAAACTTTGCTTTTATCATCTAATAGTGTTTTTCAATCTGGGGGTCTCGGGTAAAAGAAAAAGACAAGTGTTTTTGTAGGTCCTACACTATATTAAAAAAAACTACAATTTTGGCGAGAAAGCTGTATCTGTTTATTATACAGTACAGTTGGTTTTTTGATTGACATTTAGGTGCGAATGATGGGTTTCGCTAGGGAGGGGCCAGAAAATGATAGCCGAAAAAGTGCTGAGCTGACCTGTAAAAAACAGTAATAAGTAGAAAAGTAGAAGTTAAAACTGTCGTCCTAAAAAAAAAACAAAAACAAAAAACAAAAAAAGGTCAACAGCACTCCGAATCCAATGTTCCTATGAGAGGGAAGTATCATACCATACGTGTCATAAGTTATTGTCGATCCTTCTTAAATTCTCATTTTAGTCAACAATAATTTCTCTCAACAGAAAGAAAATTAAATACATAATTTTTAAAATCACTGATATAGTTTTAATATCGCCCTAGGGGGGTCGCCAGAACTTTTTAACTTGTAAAGGGGTCGCGTATTCAAAAAGGTTGAAAAACACTGGTCTAATGCAATACTGTATAAAATTGGTTATCACTTCATGTCGACTTTATAATTATTGTAAAATCACTTACGTATTGTAGCATTACCACAGTGAATTATTAAAATATAAATATAAAATGTTCACGAGCACTTTCAGTAACATATAGTTACCATCTTCAGGTGAAATGAATACTACAGTTTTCTGTATCAGAGTTATAGCACTTCTTGAAACAGCAATGAGGCTAAATGGAACTCCAATGGTAAATCAAAATTTTCTTGCAGCTTGAAAATGTTTTGGAATGGAACAGAAAATTATAGCCTCCTCAGACCCGAGAATTAAAAAATGTGTTTTTTAATAAATTTATTTTAAAATTACAATATTTGTACAGTGGTACCTCAGGTTACGAACGCCCCAGCATACGAAATTTTCAGGATACGACATGAAATTCGAACATATTTTTGCTCCACGATACGAACAAAAACTCACCATACGACGTTACATTAGTTCGCATTTTTATTTGTTTTTCTTACTACAAATATTTTTACAGTTATTTTTTTAATGTATTACTTGGCTTTAATTTGAGTATGTTTTTCGCGTTGGAACGAATTATTTGGTTTTACATGTAATCGTATGGGAAAAGATGATCCACCTTACGACATTTTCATGATACGATCTCAGTTTCGGAACGGATTAATTTCGTATCGTGAGGTACCACTGTATTATAAAAAGTCCATTTATGAATTCAACATCAACCTTTGACCCTTAGTGTTTTTTAAATAGTAAAAATAAATAAAAAGTAAAAAAACAGTGTTGCCAGATGCCTGACGATGAAAAGTGAAAACTCCACTATAAAGGATTCCTGGTCTGAACTCGATAAAATGAACAGAAAAATATTAAACAAATAAAAACAAACATCCATTTTAATGGATGAGAGGTCGGAGGAGGATAGAAATTTGTAAACTATGGTTGCTATGTGACCATGTAGCTCTAGCAATCTAATTTGTAACATTTAAATAAAGTAGTCCATGTCTTAGAAATTTCCAGAGTTGTGTTATTACATGGTGATGGTGTTGAAATATATAGGTTTTCCCAAATAAAGAGTTCTTTATGATTATGATTATGCATCCTTTCAATACTTTTGTTTGGTCCCAAACCGGCCGGTAGTCTTGATCAAGGACATCTCTCGCTAATTCCGTTGATGGCCAGTTATTATGAATGTCATCCTGATGTTCTGTGATACTTGATGTTAGTGTTCTAGCAGTCACTCCTATGTAATAAGTATTCTTCTCCTGATCCATTATGAGTTTTAATGGAATAAGATTAATGGAATAGTTTTAATGGAATAAGATAAACTCCCAATTTCTCTTTCATATCGATGGGGTCTCTGTCATTAGTTAGTAATCTTCTTAATGTTGCTGCATGGATAGCGGTAGCATGTAGCCATTTTTTCTAAACAAGTATCACTCAAAATTGTACTGTACAATTTTGAATTATGAAAGCCAACATTTTTATGAATAGCTTTAAATTTTTGGTGGAACCCTCCCACGCGATTAAAATGTCATTGACATAACGTAAGTATAAGGTGGGGATATTAATTCATAAAAATGTTGGCTTCAGTGTATTCATCCATCAACTTTATGCTAGAAGAGTCCAATACCAGAATGTCATTCCTTGATCTAGAGATACATAAACCTCCTGCACTTCAATTTTCTGTTTATCACTAAAACAATAGTAAAGCACAGATTATTCCTGCTATGGCCTTTCAACCAATACACTATCTAAACTTGGCCATCACTTCCCTTATGAGAAGTGCGTTCCTTCTTCCTTCTAGCAAAGTATTTGTAGAACAGGAAATGCAACTTATCAAAAAAGCAATGATAAAAGCGGGCTATTCCCAATCAAAATTTTATTACAGTAGAGCCTCAAAAACTCGGCACTCGATAACCCGGCACTCCGGATAACTAGGCCACACCCTGGCAGGGCAAAAAAATCCTTAGTTAATTAATTTTCATTATAGACAGCTTTATGCCTCAAAGTATTTTTCTGGGGTCTGTCTTATCAGGTAAATTACTTTACACAGTGTATTCATTAATTTTCATTTTCATGTAGTAAAGGCTCTATGCCTTCATAAAGGTCGTGCTTTTCCTTTGTTTAAGGGTATTTGGGCAGTTTATTCTCTGTTGTATTCTCAAGTAAACAATACATACAAATACAGTACAGTATTTTCTGAAGAAACACTCATACTTAGTTTTTTTAACCCCATTCCCGATAACCTGGCATTTTCACAAACTCAGCTACCCTTCGGTCCACATTAGGCTGAGTTTGAGGCTCTACTGTATCTTCGGAATTGAGTTAAAAATAAATTATATCCCCAATCATTCCTTACCAACAAAGAGGACCTAAGGATAGCACACCCCCCATTACCATTTCTGGGTCCTGTGTACAATTTTGAGTGATACTTGTTTAGAAAAAATGGCTACATGCTACCGCTATCCACTCAGCCAACATTAAGAAGATTATACCATAGTTTACAAATTTCTATAATTTTCCATTCCATTCCGAAACATTTTCAAACTGCAAGAAAATTTTGATTTACATTGGAGTTCCATTTAGCCTCACTGCTTTTTCAAGAAGTGCTATAACTCTGATACAGAAAACTGTAGTATTCATTTCACCTGAAGATGGTAACTGTATGTTACTGAAAGTGCTCGTGAACATTTTATATTTATATTTTAATAATTCACTGTGGTAACACCACAACACGTAAGTGATTTTACAATAACAATACTGTATATATATATACAGTGGTACCTCAGGATACGAACGCCCCAGCATACGAAATTTTCAGGATACGACACGAAATTCGAACATATTTTTGCTCCACGATACGAACAAAAACTCACCATACGACGTTACATTAGTTCGCAGCGCCATTTTTTATTCACTTCTGTTCATGGGTCTTAGTCTGCGTGTTTGTTTCATCATGGAAGGATCTCGCTTGATAAAGGAAATCTTGAGGTATTATCAGAAAGTGACTGATTTTATTGAAAAGAAACATCCCGAAAAGGTTCACACTGGCCGTATTGCCGCTCGGAGTAATCGCATTTGCCTAAGTCATTTTATAAACATTTTAAAAAGTAGGCAAAGCCAAACCTCTTTGGATAGATATTTTACCAAGCGACCTCTATCCAGTGAAAGTGCTGGTGGAAGTGAAGGAAAGAAAGCAAAAAGCAGTGAATAAAAATTAAAAAAAAAATGTATATATAAAACAACACTAAATTTTTTATCTTTTCTAAGTTATTTTTAAGTTATTGTTACATTATGTTATGTAAGTTAAGTTTTAGTATCATTTCCCTTCTCCCTCTCTTCCGCCACCAGTTTACACCTCCACCGTCGTCTATCCTCAAAGGTAAAGTGCAAATAAAACTACATTTTTTTTATCAATTATTATTCTATTATGGTTATTTATACATTTACAACTACAAAATGCATTTTTCAGTGTTTTCCTTACTATAGTTATTATTTCTTTAATGTATTACTTAGCTTTAATTTGAGTGTGTTTTTCGTATTGGAACGAATTATTTGGTTTTACATGTAATCGTATGGGAAAAAATGATTCACCTTACGACATTTTCATGATACGATCTCAGTGTCGGAACGGATTAATTTCGTATCCTGAGGTACCACTGTTTATATATCTACATTGACATGCAATGTTGTGCAAAATGAAATGATATATATTTAAGATGAATCAATCTATCAATCAGCCCATCATTTATTAGTACTAATAATTTCATTTTATTATTGAAAAATACATAGTAAAAAAATAATATAAAATTTTACAAGCTTTTACAAATAATATAACACAGGTTTCTTAAGAAATTATTCTCCTGAATAGTTTTTATATATATCATTTCATTTTGCACAACATTGCATGTCAATGTGCCATATTTTCCTGCCTGCCTCTAAAGAATCAATATCAAACAACAACAGGTCGTAATATTCATTGCTTTTGGGCAGACTTTAGGCTTAAATATAGTCAGTAATGCAGTACTCTCATTAATCTAGCACTTTTCTGAGTAAGAAATGACTGGATTAACAAGAGTCTAGTGTATTCTAGTTACAATTTATATCTTTATCCACATTTATGATAAATAACTAACAAACAATTTCAAAATCAAATATTTCAGAT